TTTGGGGAATCTAGCTTCGCCCGGGCCTGTATCAGCTATTTCTAGTTGTCTCATGTGTTTTGTTTGAATTGTATGCTTAGCATGGAGGCTGGATTGCCAGCAAGCGCTCCAGTTTCCACGGCGTAAGCATGTGGCATACGGGCATAATGCTACATAATGGGTAATGGGTAAAATCTGACTGTTGGCCCTCTTTAACCTGAGGCCATTAAGGCAGGAATGGGTTTGACATTGAAGCCACTTACAGAAGAAGCCCTAGATTGATAATACTTTAGCTTGGGATTCGAATGTGACTGTGACAAGGCTGCGAAAGGAAACTTTCCTTACTTATTTTTGGTGGCATTGTTGGAAGAGGAGAGTGTTGTCAGAGTAAGGGGCTGTAGCGAGGGATCACGAAAAATCAATCCCAATTAGCTGGATAAACAGAATATTCAGATGTTTTGTAAAGGTGGGGGATAGTAGAGAAGGATGTGTGAAAGATGGAGTAGCATTGAAGGTTGAACAATAAGGCTGTAGGGTAGTAACTGGTGGAGGGGGGTAGAACATTAAGAAAACTTTGAGGGTGGGGGAGATGAAGAGGGTATTGGGAGAGTGAATATTTTCATAACGTTGAATGAGACTTGTGTGGATGGTTTGACCTGGGCTGAGGCGATAGTAGGTGCTGAAGAGGAGATAGTCGTGGTCAAAAGAGAACCTGGGATAAGACGAATCGGTAGAATTTAAATAAGTGGGACTAGTTGATAAAGGGACAAGCCTCAATGCCATTAAAAACGGTGCAAAGTCTTTGTAGTCTTCATTCCTGGCCATAATCAACGCGGAGTATGTTGTGGAGGGAAATGGTCCACCCTCAGGGTCCCCTTGATGGGTAAGAAGTGATCCCCTAGGCCGTTCATAACTAGCACTAAGTTAGCACCTTAATCCTTTCAACACGTCTCTCATACATGAAATGAATAGCAGATGGGATTGGAGAAGAGAAATAAAGATAAGGGGGAATAACAGACCCTTCAAAATTCGTTGAGTCGGGAGCTGACGTCCAGAGTAGGAGTGATCCTCAGCATTGGGTCCCTGACTGTCTCTTTTTTTAGCCCTCCTCCCTTCTCCCCACATAACAGTCACGAGATTGGGAGGAGGGGAAGGCACTGGGAAGAACAGGAATTTCTGTAACTTTTATATGAATTTCTTATGTTGTTGTTTTTTGTTAACTTTACTGCTAATATCTTATGTTCATGAATATTTTTGTTCTACTCTGTTACTTCCATTATCGCTGTCTCTGGTATCTTTCTCTCCTCCAGTATTTCACAAGGTCCATATAAGTATATAGACCTTGGTATTTCATACAATACACAGACTTTCCGTACAGTTAATTTGCACGAGTTACATATAATACAAAACGTGTAAAATTAGGTAAAATTCTAGTTTTAATGTTCATATCTTTACTTTTCCTGGGGGTTTGTTGTTAATTTGTTTCTTAGTTTTTTATCTTTGTACTTATATTGATAATGAAAGGTGTGGTATTTATAGGATTTTACAATTTTTCCTGATGTATGGTGACCATTTTTATCTTCTGGTTTATACATGGTGTTTCATACAATTTTTTTTTTACATGAGTCAGATAGGAGTTGCATGTTGAACTATATTATAAAAAGAACAAAAAAATTAATAAGGTCTGGCACTCCCTTTAGAGGTACATCTTATTAGTTTCACAAATGTCTGCTCAGCATCCCATTTCCATTTTGTTTTCTATTTCAGAGGAAAGAGTCTTAAAAGTTTTAAGGTTTTATCTATGGTGTCTCAACCCTTATTCCATTAAAAGGATTTTGTCACATTTCTCATTGGTTATATGTCCTATTTTCATTTTCATTTCATTCATAAGGTTGGCATTATAACTGAATGTCACTTTCTTCAAAGGAGAAACACACAAACTGTCTATTATCGAAGGCAAAAGAGAATGAACTCCTTTATGATCTACTATGGCAAGTTTTTCCCCTTCAATTCATCACAACTGAAATATTGCCTTGTTTATCTCAAGAAAGGAAAATCAAATTCAGTTTTAGTAATAGTACATCATATTTGCCGTTAACAGGGTATAACCTACAAGGTTCCTGCAGATCTATCTATTCAGTCTCTGCTTCCTCCAAAAGCTTATATCATAATTCTCATTATCTATAAGTATTTTGATAAAGTTTCTTTCATTTCTTCAACTTGTATGCTGAAAAGCTTGTAATTTAATTTGCTAATTATAGATATATACTGTATATCTATAAACCTTGGCTAACCTTTAGTACAATGCACTTTTGTAATTTATCTATTTACGGCCTTGATATGCCATATCAATGAAAGTCTAGTACAATGGACAATAAAGGATCTATTTCCCTGACAATAGTTGCTTTTTTTTACACATTTTCCAATAAAAGATAAATAAAGGTAAACCCCAAGTTTTGTTGGCCAAAAAGAAATCAAATAATATCAACTAGTCCTGAACATTTTACCTTTTGAAGGAAGTCAAGCTGAAATTTCCTGCCCTTTCATATCCTACTTTAATAACCAATGCCATTCCCAATAACAAAATAAAAAGAAAAGAAAGAAAGAAAAAAAGTTTAATAATAAAACAGAACATCATACACAAAGCTTGCATGTGTCTATGGTTCCTGCTGTTAGTATTTTTTGTCTTTTGAGTCTGGTATTCAAAGCCTTTTGTATTTTAAAGTTCTCTCTTCATCTCTACCGTTATCACCACCTTTCCTACATAGATATATATTTGTTATTTCCTCGTTAAGGATGTTCTCCTAGAAGACATGCCTAAAAATATTATATACAATCTTATAAAAACTAATTATTTAAATTTCCTGGGTGTTATCAAGTGTACTCACAACGGTTGTTTTAACACGTGATTTTACATGATGAATCTAGACTACTATGCAATGAAGTAATTACAACATTATATACAATGTACAGAGCAGAGTACAGTATGGCACCCTTTCTTACTCCTGTATTATTCTGAGAAAACTATGTAAATGTGAAATCTTAAAATACTGATCAAGAAGAGAAGGCCAGAAAAGGAGATAGATATATATGATTGTGTGTCAGTGCGTGTACGCATATAAATATATATAACCATACAGGCATGTTATGGTTTGTTTGAATTCTCTGAAAAAAACTCTGCTCACAAAACCAAAAAATCTAAAAATCTGAGAAACTATAAATCCAAATTTTTCTCTCATAATAATTACATAACCATTTTCAAAAGAAGTACCACTCACTTTCTGATCTGCATCTTTAACTGTGGAAAAGAAAATTCTCCCTTTCGCTTTGTACTTCTTGGAACAGGACCCCCCCTCCTCCCCCAGCCCTCAAAAATAGTCTTGTGAAGTCACACTTACATGAATCTACAATTTAATTTAATAGTTCTACTTGACATAAAAAATATGCCTCACAACATAGTTCCGCGTTGAAACCAGATCAATTTCCACAAGCAGAATCAATCCCCTACCCCCCTGTCCTCCCTACACACCGTCTCCCTAAAAGCCATATTCATAGTCAATGTGCCGTAAGTAAAGTTTACACTCGAGCCCATATACTGGAATGACAATGTTATGTTTTATTGTAGAAAAGGTATGAATAAGAATAAATATCTTTACAGTGCAAAAGATAAGTCATTTTCTTTCATACTTTTTCTACACGCTGCAATGAACAAATTTTAAGAAGTGTTTTAAGTCACTCTCGAGAGCTTTAATCCACAAAGAAGTTTAGTGTTACTAACATGAACAAATACAACAGTTAATTATTGAAAAATCAGCAAGGATCTTGCCTGGATGTTTTTACTCTTAATGAAGAAAGTTTAAAAATGCAGACTACCACATTTAAAATTCATTATGGTGATGTGAGTTCTTAATTGTAAAGGCTAGATATATGTAAAAATTACAACAACGATGATAATAATGTAGTTCAAATAGAATAACCACAATGAAAATAAAGCCAAACAAAGATTTTAACTACCATATTTCCTAAGGGATTATTAGTGACTGATTTACAGATCAATTATTTGTAATTGCTGAAACCTGAGAAAATTTCCCCACCAGGAATTCCAGGGAGAGTTCTGAGGCAGTACAAGCTTCTTCCCAAATCTATTTTGGAATAAATCAACACTGTCAACAAATAAGAAACGGTGAAAGGTAGATGTGCATTGTACGATTCTGAGGTGGTAACTGAGAAATGTGCGAGACGGGTACAGAAAAACTATGAATATGGCTGGAAATGTCTTCTGAAATGTCATTTCTCTTCTTGTTTTTAGTTAGTCTATCTTTTGAAGACCACCCCTAAAAATATTTCAACAATAAAAACAGAGAGAAAGAAAAAAATCTCTTTTCATGATAAAAATTCAAGAAAAGACCAGCTCCCACCATTATCATCAACCCAAAATCCGTCCCATAAAGAGCGAAAACACACCATTCAGAATTCCAATGTTATTCAACAAGGCAGAAAGAGGGTGAAGTAGAGAAAGAAAGATGGAATTATAATACCTAATACTTTTCCAAGAAAAATAAGGGCAGAAAACAGTGTATGAAAAAACAGTATGATTGATATTCATATTAATAATGAGAGTTGTACCTAGAGACGAGAAAACAGAAGTGGAAAATGTAGAAAAAAAAAAAGTAAAAAAATTAATATATACTGTATAATAACCAAAATATAAACAAAACAAAAATGTCTTAAGATAATGATAATAATGACAGTGTTAATGACTGAATATTGATGATCAATGAATATGAATGAAACAAATGACAGATCATCATAATAATAATTCATAAACAATATATCATACATGATGATCATGATGATGAATTATGACTGATGATGATATCAACAACAATAATAATAATAATAATAATAATAATAATAATAATAACAATAATAATAATGATAATAATAATTATATGAAAATTACAAAATTAATACTAAAATTTTGTGAAGGATTGTAGCAGAAGAAATAATGAAAGAAAACATTCAATTTGTACCTCTTTAAAGAAAATTTCATCTGAAACTGACAAAAATCCACAATAATATATTTCTTTTCTTTACTTTTACACCATCTATATACACAGCAAGTTTTGTCTGTAAAAAGAGACAATTAACCTCACTGATTTTGTCTTCCTGAATTTTCATAGTTAAGCATCTGTTCTAAAAGCAAAAATGTCTTTATGAAGTAGCTAAATCCTTTTTTTGAAAAAATTGAAAAAAATCTGCAAAGAATGGCCAAACGAGAAAAACAATCTGCCTTTTATACTAAAAAAACAATCATACTACAAGTAGAACATTCACATATATATAAAAGATTTAAAAAAAGAAAGAAAAAGAGCAATTACAAAATACAAAGTAAATAAATAAAGAACTAAAAAATAAATAAAGAACTAAAAAATAATTATGATAAAAAAATAAAAATAAAATTCCCCTCAAAATTAACAACAGATTATCTACAATAGCCATTTCACTTTCTTTTTTAATCCTCTATATTAGGGCTGTCAGATCATCTAATACAAAGCAGGCCGTTCCTCCCTGCAGTGGTGCATGCCTCACTCCTTGCAACAACGCCAACGGTTGATTGCAATAGGTTACCATCAACAGCTCCTTTACAACATAAAGATTTGTCCACACTAAGGCCCAACTCAATGAACATCTCAGGCTTTTCACGTAAATATAATTTTCGTATCACAATTTACAAATATCTCATTTTTTTATTACTTTTTTTTTATATGTATATAAATTATCTATCCACAAAGGAGCCACCAGAGTGCTTGCAGGTGCGAGTCCACTGGCCATGCCTTGCAGTTTGCCTGAGTTATGGGGGTAGTTCAGCCAGGAGGCCTTGCTGCTGCAGCTGAGACCGCACCAGTGCATTCTCGTTCTTCAGTGCTGCGTTCTCATTCTTCAGCACCTCCACCTCCTGCTTGAGCAACTCAAAGTCCATGTCTCGTCGCTGCACCTCCTTAAGCCGCTCCATCAGCTGTTCATTCTGCAGTCTCAGCTCAGATATGTAGTCGCATGCCTTGGCCAGGATGCCACCTTTGCTCTGTGGAGAAGGAACCAAGGTCAATATATCATTAGGTCACTTCATCTTTTCATATTTATTTTTTACATCCATATAATTCTGAATGTTTAATCTGACACAAAATGTAAGATCTGCAGTGAATTTTCTTCCTCATCTGTCTTACTCTAACTATGAATTACATACATCTTGAACAGTCACTTTTTTCAAATAAGCAAAAAAAATTCATTGTAAGAACATTTGCAATAGTCTGACCCAAACTTTTCTCCAGCTGGTAAATAATGGAAAAAACTTTCTACCCTACAGAGCAAAACCATTATTTTTCCTCTGTATTTAAGATTTCACAAATGAGAGGCACTAGGGAGATTAACTGCAAGGCTTTCAATTTTACAATGTAAAAATATATATCCACCTTGAAAATAGCCAGAAATATGCATTCACATGAATCTGAAATACTTTCCAAAAAAATTTCAAGTTGTACCAAGTCCCACCTTCAAAAAAAAAAAAAAAAAAAGGCCAAAATTTTCCTTGACCACACCCCTAAAATTTTGGTTTCTTATTTGATCCTACTGAGTCTTCCCACCCCTCCCCAAATCAATTTTCATACATTGTTAAAAGATTTTTCATTGCATTGTACAAGTTTCATATGTAAAATACTCATTTAATTCAGAGACTTTAGAAATTTCTCTATCAGTTACAATCTTATCTGACTTATTTGTAACACGTATAAAGCTTTGTCACTGAAGACTTAGAATAAAACTTTTGTTCATATCTTTTCTGGTATTATAAGACAGGTAAGACTTTCTCCTAAGAGTACTACATATACAGTCGACAGCATCCAAATGGTGCATACAGTGGGAGTCAGACAATGTCGTGGACATTCTGCGAAAGTTGAGTGATTTGTATTTTGGCAACTCCTGTCAACTCGGGGAAAGTAGAAGTTACCCTTATGTGCCAAATGGCCTTTGAGCTTCCTAAACAGTGGAAGTGGAAAGATAAATGTATGATCTCCTATTTTGCTTTTTGTGCCTTTTTTTCCATATATAATTCTTACAAGGCTACAAATCCTTACCCATATATCTAGTATGGCTCACAAGCCAATCACAAATGTGGAAGAGTTACAACTCCTAGCCTTAAAATGTTTTAATGTTTAATATTTGAAACAAATAAATGTGCAAGACATCAAAGGTCATATAGCACTATAGTAAAGTATTGTGTTGGAAAGGGTAAAGAGGAGTTAAAGATTAGGATGAAATGTTTTAGATGTCAAAGATTAGAGAGTGTTATAGGATAGTATGGTAGCACAAAGGGAAAAGAGGAGAGTAAGTGAACTAGAGCCAAGATTAGTAGAAAGGGTAGGGTTAAGGGGGTAGGGCAATTGAATGCACTACAGTGTCTCTGTCACTAGGGTAGGTATAGGAACAATGTTCAAGGAAAAATGAGATGGCTGTTGGAAAAGTAGAAGATTCCGAAGAGAGAGAAGAGGAGGCAGATATCTGACGAGCAAAAGAGGAAGGTGTAGGAGAGGATGTAGTAAGAGAGGTTGGAGTGGATCATTTAGGTTACTTGGAGTGACAAATATAGTGAGGAGGAGGGTAGGTATCACGGAAGTGGTAGAGATTGGAGTATCTAGATTTAGACTGGAAAATGAATTTGACTGATGGGTTGACATTGAAGAGGACTGTGCAGCAGGAGATGAAGAGGAGAATGTTGTGGATGTGGAAGAGGTGCTTTCTAGGGGTTGAGTAATAATCTGGGTGGGTGTTTTGGAATGGCAAGAGTTGTTTGTAAGCGTCGAAGAAGGGGTATAGTATCAGTGGTTGGAGCCTTGGTCAAAGGAGGGGCAGGGGTTGGAAAACCATCAAAATCAAATTCAGGGCAATTTGAATGGTCTTGACCAGGTTGGGCACATAGAGGGCAGCAGGCTGTGGAGTGACAGTGATTGGCTGGGTGGCCAAAATGTCAATATTTCTGACATTGATGAGGAAGGGGTTGATATGGTCAGACATGGTAGGACAATCCGCCAATATAAACTTCATGGGGGAGGTCATGTATACTGAAGCTAATCTTGGCAATATTGACATGGGACTTATGCTAGCTTATGGGAGGAATAGAGTAACACTGTACTGCCACCACATCATAATCAGAAATGCAGGCAAGTAGGTCATTTTCAGTTTGACCAGTCCTTGTTGTAGATAGAACAACCATTTGGGGGGATAGAAACAGTTACAGTACTACAAGTATTTACCCATTCACCCCTGGTAAAAATGTTTGGCAAGTGGACATGATAGTGGGGCTGTTGGCGCATATCAGCAGTTTCGCCTGTTTGCGCCTGGCTTGTTCGGTAGTTGCCTGGCTCATTCTGTAGTTTACAAGCGACATTCGCCACCTAAAGGCTTATATTTTGCTAAAATTTTTAACAATATTAAAAATTTGAAGGTTACCTTTACTTTAGGAGCTATTGCCTAAAAGCGAGGGAATGGTCGTGATATGATGCCATCTGCTACTTTGTCCACAACAGCCATGGCATGTATGTACATGCCACCAGACGGCAAGGGACGAGAGTCAGCAGGAATGGGTTTCGTAAGATATTGAAGAGGGCTGTGCAGTAGGAGATGGAGAGGAGAATGTTGGGAAAGACAAAGGGGTGCTTTCTGGAGGCTGAGTAATAATCTGGGTGGATGCTTTGGAATGGATAGAGTTGTCAGTAAGCACTGAGGAGGGGGTAATAACCCACTAGCGCCAGTTCATTTTCAAGCCAAAAATAATGGTTTCCAGGCAGCTTCAAATTCGGTACGAAGGCCCAGTCTGGGAACCTGCCCCTTGGGCGATAAAATCAGAACGCAAGCTCCAATCAAGTGTCACACTGGCAAGACACCCCGCAATGTTTCTTTTTCCAGGTGTCTCATCTGTGTGACACCCGTCATAAGTCAGTTAATATCAGTTGTCGGAGCCATGGTCAAAGGAGGGGCAGGGGTTCCTGCATCAAATTTAGATAGGCTAGTTGATGAAGGGGCAAGCCTTAATGCCCCTATTAAAAGAAAGTCTACCCCTCAGGGTCCCCATAAGGGGTAAGGGCTAGGCACTTAACCAAGGGAATACCATGCCCATGGCTGACACAAAGCCAGCACTTCATCCTTTCAGTACAGCTCTCACACCTTAGGAATGAAATAGAAGGGGATGAAGAAGATAAGGAAGAGGAATGGAGAAGAAAAGACCAAGCAAAATTAGTTGAGGCGAGGGATGAGGTCCAAGGTTGAGGTGATCCCCTACACTAGGCCTCAGTCTCTGTCTCCTAAGCCTTCCCACGACAACAATGAACAAGGTATTGGGAGGGTCCTAGCCTTAAAATTTTTTCTTGATCTTAATAAGCCTCCATTACTTATTTTGGTAGAGTTTACTCATCAAACTTAAGAATTTAAATTTATGTTCTGATAGAAAAAATTATTGCAATGCTCTTCTTAACCCCTTGGATCCATTGCTTCTCTATCCTCACATAACTCCATGCACTCGATGCTAAAGTGCATTTTTTTTTCTACCCTCTCTGGGTAGTCTGTAACTCAATGCAATAATAATAACAATATAGAGTATTTTATTGTCATTATCATTTTTTTTTCATAATATTCAATTTTCGGCAGAAATAAGATCCTGAGCATGGAAATAATATCCCCACTCAAGTTGGCTCTTTTTCAATTATGGCTCACAGATGGCACCATCCAAACTCATTTACCAATGGGAATAATCCAATAGCTCCTTCCTAAATGCCCAGTGAGTCTAATCACCCTCTAGGAGCTTTATGCACTCATAGTAAGCATTCCAGCCATCCCGCCTGTCAGCCAAAATTCTCATAATGGCAAGTTCCTGTCAATCTAGCAATAGCCAATTTTTTTTTTTTTATGACAGCATATTCATATCACCTGCCACTTGGGCAGATTCTTTCATGACACGATGGTCACATCCTCCAGATCCAAGGAGTCAATTTCATAGAGTACATTGTAAAATACTAATTATATACATAATTTGCCATAAAATCTCAACATTCTGCCTTGCCCTAAACACACACCCTCCTAAGATCTCTTACTGCCTTTCCACTGTTCATGTTGCTGCCTTGTCTAAGAAAATGTGGATGGCCCCCATCCGCTGCCCTGATACATTACTAACCACCCATGGCTGCCGACCTCCTACTCTATAGCTAGTGGATCTTCACATCTTCATATTTTGCCATACCACTGTATTTTTATTTTTTTTAATTTTTTTTATAAGGACTCAGCTAAGGATACTATAATTGAGATGTTTGTACTGTGGAGACACAATCGTGACAGGCCAGGCCCGCATGAACACCCAAGAGCAGTGACAAGACTCTGTGTCTCCCCTTTGAAACATTATTTTGTGTAAACTTTTTTTTAGCTTTATCGCCATTTTCCAATGTCCAGTTTTGTCTTTTGATTTGCTTTACCCAGATGGTAATTACTTATTTTCCTTGTACAGACTCCATATCATCTCTCTATGTAGTAAATAACTCCAGGAATATGGTCACAGCATGGAAATTGCAAATCAGTCAAATCACACTCCAAGAGGTTTGTACATTCGTGGTGAGTCTTTTCCGTCACCCTGGCCTTCGCTCATGATGGCAATTCGCGCCACCTTGGCTGCAGCCAATTTGCCTGGTTGACGGCAAGTTCATGTCACCCGCCCTTTGGCTCAAGTTTTTCTGTGATGTGACCGCAATGTCACTTGAGTCCAATGGGTTAAAAGAATAAAAATATAATATATGATTCTTTTCATCTTTGAACATCCTCAAACCTGGTATCCTAAAAAGCATATGCAATATAAAAAACTGAACAAAAAGTATAAGACCAAAGCATTTCTATGGCATTTTTTTTGAACGAAATAACATAGTGGCTGTTACTTTTCTTTAGCACTGCCTTACATTACTATGGTTAATGCTCAGCTGAACAGAAATTCAAAACCAGTCTTAACTCAATTTTCATTCTCCTCCCCTCCCCTATACAGGTCAGTCCCCCCCACAAACAAACCAAATTTTAAATTCAATATAAATTACAATAATCTAGATGTTAACCAAGTGACGGGTGATATCATGAAAAAAAATTGGCTGAGGGCCAGATGACTGGGATGTGCCATCATGAGGAAACTGGCTGTGGGCTGAGTGACGGGGATGTGCCATTACAAACGAGGGAGAAGTGGTAACATAAAAAAAATTGGCTGAGGGTCAGGATAATGGGAATTGCTCATCATAAGTGCAATAAGATCTTAGAGGATGATTAAATTCATTGGGCATTTAGAAAGAGGTTCTTACATTACGTCCACCAGTAAACGAGGGTAAAATTTATTATCTTTGACCCATGACTAAAAGAGCACTGGACAATATTTCCATGTCAGGATCCACTTCCTACCCACCATGACCAATGGTGCAAGTTGTCACAGAAAATTGAATTATACAATTAAAATTACAAAAATAATATGATGTTATGTATTGCTATTGATACTGCACAAAGTTGTAGACTATCAACAGAGATAATATGGAGTTTGCTCAAGAAAAAAAAATATTATCATGATACAGCATAACAAACTATAAATATAGCCCTTGGAAATGGCAACATACCAAAAGACAATGATGCAGAAAAAGATACATCACAATAGGGAGGCAAGGAGTCTTGATACTGCATGAGTGTTTATGTAGGCCTACAAACCACACAACTGGGTGAGTCACCAAACAGGAAAGCCTATTGCCTGAATATAAGTCCACTAGCAAGCCACAAGGCACCTGGATCCAACAGGTTAAAAACAACACCCAATCACCACACTGTTCCCCTTACCTGTGCACTCTTTGGGTGTGCATCGGGGCAGTCTGGGATGATCTTGGCTAGGCGGCAGATCCAGTTGTTGATCTTGTCCCGTCTTCTGCGCTCCACCTCATTATGTGTGACTCTCCGCTTCTCCTCCCTGGTAGTCCCCGTCAGACGTTGGCTCATCATACTCTCACTTGTTCTCGGCGTGAGGCTGCGAGGTGCTGTGTTGGTGAGCACATCGCTGATGACATAAAATTGTCCTGAAAAGGGTAGGGTTGGTAATGGGCAAAAGGGGAGTGAGAGAGAGCAAGAAGAAAGACAGTTAATGTTAGTGAATATGGATTTATTTTTGATGGAACATAACATTTTGATGTACAGCCTGTGTACCGCAACTAAATTCAATAATCTTATTTACAAGTAGAATGCTCTCAAAGTGAAATCACACCTTGTTTTAATGGACAAATAAGGGAACATCCTTTCTAACATCAACAATAACATTACGAAAGGAAGAGCAATAATATACAACAGTACTTTAATCCAAGCACTTCATTAAGTTGACAGAGTAATATACCCATATATCAAACTTTTTTTTTTTTTATTATCATTTATTATTCACACACCTGCTTCACACTTTCTAACTTTCTGATCAATTCAAACTTTTGTGCTACTATTAAATTAACCCTTTTCCACTTTTCTATCCTTCTTCCAGAGGACATGGAAATGATTATTACTAAATAAAAAAATAAAAAAATAAAAAGGAGGGGGACAATAAGTACTGAAAACAAAGTAATGGCTGAACTAAGAGGCAGTCAGCTCGCAAAGAAGCAACCTGTGTCCTGGGTTGCCACAATTCCGACGCAGTATGCAGAACTTAGACTGTATCAGACTTTATCCACTGCTTTCTATATCCATTAATGGGAGGTCCATAAAACCAAGGTATGAGTATGTTTAGTCACTAAGGAACCAATTAATAGGCCTCCCTAATCTCAGCTATCTACCCCATTCCTTAAATCTTCAGAAAGAAAACTCAATATTTTTACTACTATCCTTCTAGTTAGACTAATAACATTAAAATAATAATAATCATGATGATGACGATGACAATGAAGATGACGATGGCAACGACAGAATAAGAAATAGCATGAAAATTCAGGTGGGCCTTGTAATTGTTTCTCTGGTGACTAAGTGCTTATAAAGCTATCTATGTGTAAACAAAACCAATGAAATGGGTGTAATTACCCAACACAAATGGCTAATTCTTTAAAAATAAAACCAGAGGATCCCTAAAATTCCTCACCCGGTTATTTATCATGTAACTCTTCTGTCACCGACATTTTGTGAATCCATTGTTAATTGCACTTAACTCTCTCATTATTCGAGCTCTTGAAGTTTATGCATATATATCCATAAAAAAATAAAAAATAAAAAATAGAAACTTCAATTCAAATTAAATAAAAGTAAAATAAGGATATGAGTCATTGCACAGTGCTATCAAGAACTACACCAACAGTACATGTGTACTTTCCAGCCACTGTAAGTGGTTGACACCATTGCATGGGCTTACTCTCAGACGGCCTTGAATGTTAACCTACTGGATCTGGGTGACATGACTTTCATGTCATAAAAAAATTGGATGAGGGCTGCATAACAAGAATATGCTATGATGATAAAAATTGGATGATGCCCTGGGATGACTTGCCAAGGGTACACAAACATCTTGGAGGAAGATTAAAATTAGTGGGCATTTAGGAAGAGGCTCTTGCATTATTTCTATAAGTAAACAAAGGTGGAATGTACAATTCATGAGCCATGCCTGAAAGAGCACCTGCTTCAAGGAAGACATTACTTCCATACTTAGGATTCTATTCCTACCCTTCATGACTAATGGTGCTGGGTCCCCATGGAGTCCATATGACACCCAGATCCAACAGGTTAATGGTAACTCAAGTCTCCTACTCATTAATGAATAATAGCCGATGCAAATCCACCCAAAAGTATGTGTCAAAACGTATTTACACTACATAAGTTGAACAAAATTATTAAAGAAAAAAAAATAATTAAAAGAAAACGGAAGTGGTATACTGATAACGGGTAGCCCCTTTCCCTTCCAACTCATGTGGTGTGTGCAATAATTACATATTTTCAGAAAATCCAACATTTTCATTACTCTTTTGTCTTAACTTTTCGGAGATGAAAATGTATTACTGTTTTAGTATTATCTTCAGAATATATAGAGTGAGATGTGTTTTTGCTATTCATCAAATTATTAGTTGTTATATTTTTCTGATCCACATTAATGGCTAATAATCGGGATATCCCTTATATATGAACTTGAACCAGGGAGATACGAAATAAAAAAATATTAACAATAATGTGTACTAGAAAGTTCACAATCTCACATCAAACACTTACACCAGAAAATCAATCAAAGGAAAAAGTCAATTCTGGTAAAATGTTGACTTAAGAATGGAGTTAGCCTTTCTCTTGACCTTCACAATTAAGTATATGATTGATATCAAATAGCTAATATAGTTATAATAAATGATTCTCTATCATTATTTCTAACAGCCATGAATACTGTTTTATCATCATTAGTACAAGATTCTCTCTTTGCCTATTAAACAGTATTAACTATTAACTGTAAATAAAACCATAAAAAGATTCTGTGCACAATTTCATGCTGAAAAATATATCTCCTTGGAAATTATAGAGAAACCCACTATTGCACACAGCAATTCATCTTCCATTTTACAATAGTCTGCCCTTAGCCCCTGTGGAATAGATGAACAGAAGGGGAAAAAATATATATCATCCTTTTGAAGGAATAATAACATCTACGGACACTTTACAAATAATTTTGAAGGGACATGGGAAAGATGAGTATGATATATCACCTAAAAACTCTCTAAAACCAGCTAACTGATGACCTCGAATAAAGCAACGACCAGCTACTGAGCTAAGATCATGATCGTGTACCTTTCAAATAAATTAGCTATTTACATCAGTATCATATAGTCTTGGAAGATGAAGATGAGGATCATGAAGATGAAGAGGAGGTTAACAATGAAGATGATGAGCATAAAGAAGATGGGGATGAGGAGGATAGCGAGATGAAGAGGAGGAGGACAAAGTAGATAATAATAAGGAGGGAGACCAAATTTAGGAGAAGGAATAGCAGGGGAAGAAAGTAGAAAAAACAAGAGGAACCTGCAAGCAATTACGGAAACGAAGACAGTACAATCCGAAGACTCCTGCAAGCCCCATCCCCCCCTAAAAAAACATCAAAGCCAACCCCAGTCCCACCACCCCATACCTTAAGCCCAAACCCTAATCTCAATCGTACCTCCTGAAACCACAACCGCACTATTGCCGTCAGTTGGGACATCTCCCGAGGTGATCAGGGCTAAGCGGGTCTCGGAGTTGTCACTGGGTGAGCCGTTCATTTGCGTGGCTGTTAACAAGTTAGGTACTGTATTCTGGACTGCACCTTGGGGTATCGCGTCGACGCCACCATCTGTGCCGAACTGTACCACCCGATATGCCACAGCTCCTGAAGGGACAAAGTGGAAAAGAGAAAAAAACTTTAAGTTATCATCAGGCTCTCATCAACATGTGATGTATTTATCTTACTCAAAATTTTTAGACTTCTCAAGATGTGGAAAATGAGGCACAAAGAGAATGCTCCTTGTGCCGTGGTTCTTTGGCGCAATTCCTTTCAATTGCATATCTTATAATAACATCTTGCAATCATAACTTAGCTCCTAAATCCTTCAAAATTCAAAAAACACTAGATAAGATAACAATTATGAATACGTGAACAAGCCAAACTGTAATAATTTCTCTACCTGTAAAACCCTAATCTCCCTATAGCAATACCTTTCTCTTAAAACTTCTAAACCTTAGCAGGAAAAAAGAAATAGTAATAAAAATTAACCACAACTTTCTTCTTGCCTTCTTGCACCAGACGAGCTCAACACAAGAACTCTAACACCTAACATCTCCTGAATCCCTGTCTTCCTCCTCTAATGCTAAAGCAACCACATGCCCAAATCTTCCTTTCCCAAGTCCCTCTTTCCCCCTATTATTCGACCTTTGCTCCTTACCACTGTGCTCTGAATCAGAGCGTAGGGTGAAGCCAGACTGGGCGAGGATCGGTGACGAGCTATCCCGGACTGCTCCGTCTTCCTCCACAATGGCCAGGCGCTGTGTGAGAGCAACCTTGTCGTCCTCACATTCACAGTCCTTGTCCCCACTGTTGGTAAAGGTTTTGTTAGGTTAGGATAATATTTATAAAAATTTTGAATCTATCAACAATTAAGCATAACATTTACCGTTGTAATAATCCAGTATGATTTTTCAATTTATTTATGTTTCTACATTAACCCCAAGATCTGTATGATGTAACCATCCCGTCATGAAAAAATTGGCTTGCGGGGCAGGTGACATGAACATGACACCATGAAAAAATTTGGCTGAGGGCTGAGTGATAGGAATTTGCTGTCATGAGAATTCTGCCTGAAAGCAGGGATAATAGGAATGACTCCCCGCAATGGCACAAAGCTCTTGGAGGGTGATTTGATATATTTGGATAAACAAGTGTGGAGTGTACCATTAGTGACCCATGAGTGGAAGAGCACCAGTTCCCGGGAGGACACATTTTCATCCCCAAGATCCTATCCTTGACCGCTGTGACTGACAGCGCAGGTTGGTTAAGAAATTTGATTATCACATTTTTTTAATTACGAAAAAAATTAAATTACACACAACAAAATATTAGTTACTGTTATCATCATTGCACTGAGTTATGGACTATCTAGAGAGATGATATGGAGTCTGTGCAAGGAAAAGAGTCTATTACCATCTGGAATAAAACAAATCACAAGGCAAATACAGATATTGTTAAAATAGCAAAAAAGCTAAAAACACTTATACATAAAAAGAGAAATTAACATTGAAAAGGGGAGGCAGGCAGTCTTGGCACTACATAGAAATGCTCATGTGCACCTGGCCTGCAAGCCACACACCTGTTAGAGCGGCTGCCTAAGTAGACAAAGCTGTATTTTGGGCCATGTGTGGACGATAAAACATTAAGGATCCAAGGTGTTAAAGCAAGTCTTGAAATGAGGCCCACATTTTTTCTTCCTCCATTTTGTCCACTAAAATCTATACAAATCCCCTTTTCAATTAACTAGAGTTGGTACATCATACATACAATCTTGCTTTTAATAATGTAGAATAAAAAGTACTATTACCAAAATTCTGCAGTACTAATATTTCCTTTAACACAAAAATTATTGTCACCTTAAACAAACCAATTCAATGATTTTCAGATTAAGAAAATCCCTTAATGATGAAGGTAGACTAAAATAAAAAGTTAATATCAAAAACAAATTTCATACAAATTCCTCACAATATTGCGTAAAACATCTCAATAGCTCTTTTGACATACAAAATTCTCATTTGCTTCAGCAAAATTAATTTTCAAAAATTGGTATTATCAAAAATTATTAATGTCATTATCATTACCATTATTAGGATCATCATCTATACCATTTATATTGTGACCTGCATTTAGTGAAGTATAAATTCAAGCACTACAATCACTGAAAATAGAAAAATTGGCCTTGATCAAAATGAACACCTGATAGTTTTTACATCTGGGCCACCCAGTGAGATCGAGAAATTGCAATCTGTAGTGATTAAAAAAAACATACGTTACTCATGTTTTTCTGGGGATGTAAAATGCCTAACTTAAATTAAACCTTACTTTCAGTAATACTTCACAGTATGGACGCACTTACCAGAGACTAAGAGCCCAACTTCACGTCACAAAATTTATTTATTGTGCACAGAAAAGATGAAGCTGAAACTCGAGAGTACTAAGTAGACTTAGGCACTAGGCATAGCTTTCCATGATCTTTTTCCTTTATCTGTGGCATTACTGTATGTGTCTGCAGATTATTTCTTGTCCTAACAACTGCAACTTTTAATCCTCTACAAGATTATTCTCTACAATTTGCCTGGCCTTAGTGCATCCATAACATAAAGATTAACCTTCATTTCTTAAGATTTTCCTTTCCATTAATCTTTACGGTATGGATGCACTAAGGTACGGCAAATTAATAAAAAGAGCCCCACATTAACTCTCCCCTCAGACAGTGCGCAAAGTGCACACCATGTCACAGGAACTTAGATTGTTAAATAAATTTTTAGACATCGAGTTGGGGACTTAGTCTCCAGCGAGTGCGTCCATACTGTAAAGAATTACTGTGGCCTCCATGCCCTCAACACTTCAGCAAAGGCCAACAAGCCGCTACCACTAACAAGATGGAGCTTACACTGCTTCCCTGTTTACTGGCCAATCACTACAGTAGCTTATAAGCTCTAACTTAGTGGAATATATACGATGGTGATTTATTTTCTTTTTGCCAAAGCGTGCCATAGCCAGCAGAGTATTTTTCATCGGTAACTTTTACTCTGTTATTTGGTCTCCTTAAAGTCTTTCTTCCGTTGCTTCAAGAGCCAATAAGATATCCTGTTTCAAAAAATTAACATATTGCTGACGGTTGAAATCCACAAAGAACAGAGAACAAATGCTGGGTGGCAAGAACAGATGCCAAATACATCCAACCTGCTCTTAGTTAGGTGCCTAGGTTGTTGTTCACTTGCCTGCCGCAAGCTACAGCCCCACAGAATTAGGGTCAAGGGCGCATATATCACAGCCAAATGTAAACAGAACAGGGTAAATATTCATTCCTCACACTTTCTATTTTTTTTTGGTCGCTGACTGTACTTGCACCATAGCACATGGTTGAATTAGGTATGTGGAAAAGCGATTTAACGGTCAAAAATAAGTAGAATATGGAGTAAAACAATTATTCTGTATGAAAACTATCCAATCGTAACAATATACCTAATTCAACTTTCACTTACTGCAGTCTAGCCTCGCACGGCACAGCCAACCCTAGCCTAGCCTTCCTATCTCAACACTGATAACCTCAAACTAAATAATTCATCAAAAATATCAATCAAAATCAAATGAAAATAAACAGAAATAATATCAAACCAATAGCAAAAAAATAAACAAAATAAAAATCCATTACGTGAAAAAAGAAAAAAATACGAAAAGGAATCGTGAAACCACACCCTAGGGCTCAGTCCTCCGCCAAACCCAACACTCAGACTATAGTTATTAAAAGCAATCCTTGTTAATAATAAAAAATCGTACTGACAATTACTCAAAATAGAGTCGCAAATTATCCACACAAAATTGAAGTAAAGAAATTAAATACCACATGAAGCGCAAATCCCCATAAACAATATAAACACAAGCAATCCTCAATAACAACAAACCTTTTGAAAATATAAACCCTCCCAAAAACCCAAAAACCCCAAAACAACCTTTAAAAAAACAATTCCAAACCCCAAACCAAACCAAAACAAATAACCCAAAAATCCCACCTTTTAAAAAACCTACAAAATCCCTTAAAAAAAACGAAACCCAATTCTCCCTTAACTCCTCCTCGATCCCCACAGACCCTCCCCCTCTCCCTCTCCCCCTTAAAACCCCTTAAAATCCCGCCCAAATCCCCCCCAAGGAGAGTGACGTGGGTGTACCTTGTGTCGAGTGCTGTCTGTATCATGTCCATGGGTGAGGGAGCGCTGTTGCTTCTTCAGTTGGTCACGAGATCACCATCGAGGGGATTCAAGGTCATGTGACACCCCTCTCGGCCAGGAGGACGGACGGCTCCTCTCGCTTCTGCTGACGGAGGGTCTTGTTGGGGTTGTTGGTGGGGTGCTCGTGTTGTTCTTGTTCTTGTTCTCGTTGTTGTTTGTTGGCTCGATGTTCCCTTGGCCGATGTCCGATTCCGCCAGCTCGGTCGCCTCCCCCCGATGGAGCGCGTGTCACGTGTCTCTTTTCGGTGTTCCAGAGGGTCTGGATGGCGCTGGGGAGATTCTAAGGGCGCGGATTGGGGTCGTGGGTTGGGATTGAGGTTGACTGAAGGGTTTGAGGGGGGTTTGGGACTATTTTTTCGACGTGAAATAGGGAGGTTCTGAAGTATTTTGGCGAGCGGAAAATCGTCCGAGTTGTGTGATGGCCGGACTCGAGTTGCTGATTAGTGTTTTTGCTGCCATTGTTCTTCCATCGG